TATAAAACTAGATAAAGGTAATAAGAAAGATGTGATAATTCAGATGTGAAATGAAAAGGAATGAGAGGATTTTTACATTAGGCCTTAAGGTTTTAGGGGGGAATTATTTAAATTAAAGGCAAAGATATAACACCTATTATTGTAATTGTTAGTTATTTGTGGTTAGGATTTCAACTTCAAATAAATTACCAAACGTAACATTAATGCAGTGAATCATATTTTTTAATTGTGTTTCAGCAATGAAGGTTCTCCTTATGCTGCAACTGTTCTATTTGGCTGGCTGCAGTACTTCCAGAACCAGAGAGTATGCTCATCACGGTGCAGCCATGTTTGCAGACCTCACTGTGCAGGAGATGAAAGCTGTCCGATCCTACCTGCATGGTATTCCGGACATGAAACTAACAGATGCCCGAAGCAAAACTCTGAAGAGGAACAGTATCCTGCTGATGGAACTCCACCTGCCAAAAAAGCACGAGGCCCTCAGAGCACTGGACCGTGGTCAGGCCAAACCCCCTCGTCAAGCTCGTGTGATCATCCTGTTTGGGGACCAGGCCAAGCCAAATGTCACCGAGTTTATTGTGGGTCCGCTCCCATCCCCAAGATCTCACCAAGTCAGGACAATCAAGGGGCACAAAACAGTTCAATTTGAGTCCCGGCCGATAACCATTGTAGAGTACGACCATATTGAAAACCTCCTAAAGAAGATTGCAGTTCAAGCTCATAAGCTTATTTTTGAGAGCACAGGAGGCTTTTCCTATGTAAACTGTTCCAACCGATGTCTGACGTTCTCAGACATTGCTCCCCGTGGGCTTGCTCCAGGTGAAAGGAGGACGTGGATCATGTTGCAGAAGTTTGTAGAAGGTTATTTCATTCATCCGATTGGATTTGAAGTACTGATCAACCATAAGGATCTAGATCCAGACAAGTGGACCGTTGAGAAAGTCTGGTACAATAACATGTATTTTGACAGCGTTGGGGAGCTGGTAGAAAAGTATGAATCAGGAGAAGTGGAGAAGTTGAGACTGCCTGATCACAACGACGAAGACTTTTACTCTACCTACATACCCCGAGGTCACAGTAACACACCAACTAATATCCATGGGCCGAAGCTTGTTGAGCCCCAGGGACATCGCTACTTCATAGATAAGAACTTTGTTGAGTATGCTGGATGGTCCTTTGCATACCGAGTCCGTTCTTCTGCAGGCCTTCAAGTCTTTGACTTGCGCTTCAATGGACAAAGAATAGCTTATGAAATCAGTCTCCAGGAAGCTATTGCCTTTTATGCTGGAGATACTCCTGCTGCCATGCAAACAAAGTACATTGATGCAGGCTGGGCTATGGGCTCCTCAACATATGAACTCGCCCCTGGAATTGACTGCCCAGAAATTGCTACATTCATTGACCTTTACCACTACTTTGACACAGACAAACCTCTGCACCACAAAAACGCTTTGTGTATTTTCGAGATGACAACGGCTTTGCCCCTAAGGAGGCATTTTGATTCTGACTTTCAAGGAGGTTACAACTTCTATGGAGGTCTGGAGAACACTGTACTGGTGTTGCGGACAACCTCAACAGTTTACAATTACGATTACATCTGGGACTTCCTGTTTTACCCAAATGGAGTGGTGGAGGTAAAAGTCAGTGCTACAGGCTACATCCACGCTACTTTCTTTACCCCTAATGGGCTGAACTACGGCACAAAGGTATACAACCATGTGCTGGGGAACTTGCACACTCATCTCGTTCATTACAAGGTAGACCTGGATATTGTAGGTGAGTATTATGTCACACTCACCAAGTTTTCTGGTTGAGATTTACAACTCCCTTTAAATTTGCTAAATCAGAAAAAAACAGACAAGAGAGCCATGTGTCTAAAATTCATTATAGGAATCTTTAGACTGGACTTAGATCAATCTATTACAAAAAGCAACAACAACAAAAAAACAACTACAAAAAAACATCTCTAGTAAGCAAAATATGCCTCAAATCCAATGTACAGTATCATACATCATACCTTAAAACAGGTGCAAAGTTTTTTGTGTTTGCAATTTAGCAAACAGAGTGGGCCAACTTTTTAATGCATGTTTACGTTTATCAATATGCAGATTATAATTTAAAGATGAAAGTGTGATGATTCAATAGTGGAGAATATGTATATGTAAACATTTACCAGATGCAAGTAAGTTTCCAAATCCAAAAACTCAAATGTAGCCATAGTTTTAAGCATTCTATTTTTAGAACTATGGAAAGTAATAAAAGTCTGTGCTCATTTTAACTTAACAACAGTTAAAAAATTATATCAATAAAGGAAAAACATCTATGAAGGTAGGCCCAAAGTAATGCAACAAACACTTTATACAATTAAGACAAAACAATAACATTTCTCACCCAATTCAGCAAAGCACTGTTATGTTTTATATGTTTGCACCTGTTTTATGGTATCTAATTTTTTATATTGAGTTTCAATTATATTCATTATATTCTTTAGTATATACATTAGTGCCACATAAACTTCAATTAACATTATAGTCATTTTTTAAAATCACTATTACTTCTAACTACGTGGCTTAGAACCTCATCTTTCTTTGATGGCTACTCTCAAACAGCCAGCAGAACCCAAAATCAGCTTTTTTAAACAGGGCAGACCCAAACCCTTTAGTATTTTTTTTACCATTTGGCCAGAGATCACTGGGGATTACCCACAACACACTCTCTTATTGCATGCACTAGAAAAAAAAATACACATGCAGTTCAGTGCCTCCTTTTAGCAATCTTTTTTTTTTTTATCATTATTACCTCTAACTACGTGGCTTAGAACCTCATCTTTCTTTTATGGCTACTCTCAAACAGCCAACAGAACCCAAAATCAGCTTTTTTAAATGGGGCAGAACCAAACCATTCAGCATTTTTTTACCATTTGGCCAGAAATAACTGTGGATTACCCACAACACACTCACTTATTGCATGTACTAGAAAAAAATATACACCTGCAGTTCAGCGACTCCTTTTAGCCTTTTTTTTTTTTTTTTTTTTAAGTCACAAAAAATGAAAATCAAATTTGGTGGTTAAAATCTTACAAGAGGTTTTGCTAATCATTGTAGAATAATTATGTCAAATTGTTTGTTGTTTTTTTTTACAGCAAAACTCCTTCTTTTAAGTTGGGTTTAAGCTAAAAAAGTATGGTTAGGAAGATTAAAGTTCTAGGTTCCTGAGGAAAAGATTTATAGCTATAAATTAAGCTCAAACTATGACTTTCATCATAGGCTGGCCAAAGCTGTTGTTTAATATTAAAGGATTCATCGCACTGATAGAATTACTTTTTTTCTCATTCAAACCTATATATGGGATTGCTTTTACTGTTATCTTTTAATCCAATGAAATCATAAGACATTTTGTCTTTGACGACTTGTCCTTACAGATAAAATGCACCTAACCCGTCTTTTAACCAAATATGTACAAGTTATAATTATATATGTATGCAATACTCCTCAGGCACCATAATATGCCAAGATATTGAATGCTTTGCTTAGGCGCCCAAAAAATGCAATGTGTGCGTTATATCTGGCTCTTATAGTATATTAGCTTAACTAAAGAATTGGGAAAACTTTGTGCTGTAAAGAAAACAGTATCCTTTCACAGACATCTTTCTTAAATATATTGTGTTTTTTTGTGTGTGAAACAGATCGAAGGAACAGCTTTGAAACAATAGACCTGAAATATGTGAACTTCACCAATCCCTGGAGCCCCGAGAATTTCATCGTCCAGTCTAAACTCCACAGGACGGAACGCAAGACAGAGCGATCAGCAGCATTCCGCTTTGGCAAAAAGTTCCCTCGCTATGTTCACTTTTACAACTCCAATGAGAAAAACAAATGGGGACACAATAAGGGTTACCGTATTCAGTTTAACTCACATGCAAACAGTGTCCTTCCCAGAGGCTGGAAAGAGGAAGTTGGAATCAGCTGGTCAAGGTAAAATGAAATCTTTGTAATTTTCTTAATATATGAGTGTCATGTTGAACCATACAAACCAAGTGAGGCATGTCTTATGCCTATATTACTACTGAACAAGTTGGAAACTGCTTGGTTTTCTACTTCCTCATGTATGTAGAGCTGTTATCTTGCAGCTTGTGCTGTAAACCCTCTCCTGGATTTGGCCAGAATATTAGTTACAAGTGGAAAAGCTGCACTGAGTTTAAAAGCAACAAACACAATTGTTTGTGCATTTCAATTTCTGCAGAGAACGAATGCGCGTCATTGTAACTGAGCCTCAAAGTAGCCCTGAATGCCTCCCCTCTCATTCACATGGACTCCTTCATTTGTGCTTCCTGCATTATGTTACAAATACACTGCAAAAAATAGAAATCTCAATAAGTTATTTTTTCTTAAAATAAGTGCGTTTTTCCTTGAATTAAGGAGGTAAGTAAGACACTTTGCCAATGGAACAAGACAATTTCCTTTTAAAATAAGAAAAAACAAATTTATTGTCTTATTTCAAGTAAATATTATCTAACTATCTTATTTTAAGAGTATAAATACTCATTCCATTGGCAGATCATCTTATTTACCTGCTCAAATTAAGGGTAAATATACATAATTTAAGAATATTTTACTTATTTCTGGATTGTTTTTGCAGTGTAGGAGCTTTTCTAGTCAGTGTAATAATTCATACTGACTCTGTTGCATTGCAATATGATGCAGAGCTTCCCTTTGTCCTTCAGAAAAACAGATAAAATCTATTTTTGATAGATAACAAAGAAAAATGTCTCGATATCTTGAAACCAAATGAGCTAGAGACTTCTTACTGCTCATGATTAGCAACTAGGGTGACTGGTTGCTCAGGATGGAACCCTTGGCCGACTCTGAACAGGTGAGCCGGCCTTTTAGTGCACAGAGCTACAGTTTAAGTGTTCATTTTTGGCCACTGGATACAAAAAAAAAACAGCATTCAAGGTTCCTAATAAGTGCAAGATGCAATTCCATCAGCTTTTTTCAATGTGCATTTAAAGTATTGCAATAGAAATGATAGATGAAAATGGGAAACTTTGAAAAAGCTTGCAGAAAAGTTTTTAGTGGTTTTTTTGCTTTTGCAAAAAAAGGCTTAAAACGCATAAGTATCTAGAATAACTGTTTTTAAAATCAGCTCTTATGTAGCAAACTTTTACCTCACATGACTAACCAGCTCTTTTCACTGTCTGGATCCTGCTGGATGTTACTAATATGTGCAAAATCATGGCTGGAAGCAACATCGCCATCACTAGCTGTCACGTAACATCAGAACAACTTCTCCGATAGCGACACATTCATTCAAACTTTCCTCCTCCTTTATTGATTATTGATCCTGTTCATTACAGCCATGAATGGTGAATGTAATTTAATGTTGACGAGGATGTATGATGACTCAGTTAATGGGCTTCAAACCAAATAGTTAAACATAAAATAAGCAGTTCTGTTTTTTGAACTTTTAAAAAATTGCTTAAAATTTGGACTTCAGTTGGATGGAAACCTGGGTACAGTCTTTTAACAAAAAGATAAAATGGTCACCAATTGAGGTACCCTTTGTCCAGTAGTTGACCAAGAAGAGGAAGGACAACTCTGTGCAGGTTTACATACCTTTGACATCCCCAGGAAATCCAGCTGTGAAGAAATTATTTTAAGTGTCCATACTGGGATTCAGAACTCTTTATCAGTTTCTTTTTACTCTACTAGCAATTTGGTTTCTAATCCATAGGATGTTTCTCTCGCATTTTATTCTAAATGGTTCATTCTGTAATAAGGATGTAATGAAACACATTTTCAAACCATTTCTTTTGCAACCTTGGTTTACTTTGCAAACAGTAAGCTGCTGTTCCCTGGTTCTTATTCTCTTTACATTTGGAATCATCTCCCTGCAGATATCCTCTGGCTGTGACACGTCACAGGGACAGTGAAGCTACCAGCAGCACTATGTTCACTCAGAATGACCCGTGGGAACCTGCAGTGTCCTTTGAGGATTACATCCGCAACAATGAAAACATAGTCAATGAGGTACAGCATGAACATTTAGTTACGCTTCAACACCACTGTGGTTCTGTGCTGCTTTTAAGACCAGGGAGACAACATATCATTTAACACCAACTAGATATTCAGTGTGGGACATTAGAGTGTCTTTCTTACCTCCTTAAATGGTTCACAAACCAAATTAAAAAAATTAACAAGTGTTTCTCATTTTTTATTTGTTAAATCAGATTGAAAATGACAGTTTTAGGTCAGTAAAGATTATTCAAAGTGTTCATATTAGCTGCAGTTACAACAATAGACAAGGTGAGTTTCCACATGTTTCCATAGTGTTTGGTACCATATTACTTTGGTCAAGCACTTTTGGATATTTATATAGATAGATATACTGTATAAGTTTCATATATGTCTTGGCTGTTATTTGGCCAGTTTCTCCTAAGAGAGCTGCTGTATCTCAATCAGGCTTTCATACTACCTTAAGCTGGGCACACACTGTACGTTTTTTCAATCGTTGCACGCAGCTACAGCTCACACTGTACGACGAAACTGCAGGGTTTAAAAGTTCACAGCTCAAAATGTATTTTCTCACACTGTCTGGCCCGATGTTCTGATGCGATCTACCTGCTCACATTCTACATCTAAAAACCACATCGGACTCAGCTTCGCAATGAGATGGTGCTACTCTGACTTGTTTATCTAGAAGCCAAACGAGTAGAAGAGGAATATGAAGCTCACTAGAGTGAAACGTGCTGCCTTGGCAATTTGTGTAATTTTATGGTGAAAGCCCTAAAAAGAAAAAGCGATGACATATTTGGACAAAGACATGTCTGAGCAAACGTGGCTACTACGGTCTGTCAATTTTACAGAAAGAACTCCATTTCACTCGCACCCTCGCCATGCTTCTGTGTTTTCATCTGAGAGGAAGAAGAAGAAGAATAATGCTTGTTTGCGCACTGAGCAATTTGCCCACGACGGCAGACTAAATTTCAAACATATATTTTTTCTCTTGACCTCACGATTCCTAACCGGGAGGTGGTCGTGAGAGGCTAATCGCCACTCATTACTCCCTGTACACTACACCACGCATGACATACAATCAGGCTGAAAGGCGGCCCGATCGAAAAATTTTCACGACTTGAAAATCGGCCTGAAAAGGGCAAAAAATCGTAGTGTTTGCCTGGCTTGAATCACACGCCTCTTAAGGTTTCTGCACAATTACTTGACAAATAAAACATCTGGGCTTTGCAGTGTAAAGTTTCAGGCCCATCCTGATCTTTCTGTACGATTTTATAGAGAGTTTTTTTTTAAGAATTGTCATACAATATTATTTCCTCATTATGCCATCTGATTCATTGCGTGCACCCAGTCTTCAGCAGTAATTCATCAACCTACCACCCTTCTACCTGCTAATTTTTTCACAGTTGGGGCTATTCTCAAGCTTTAACGCTCCCATCACGTTTTGCCTGAAAATTTTGGCAATGGTTGAAAGTGGAAATTATTTCTGTATTAGAATATTTTCTGGGCTTTATGCTTTTGCTCTGAGATTGATCAGTTGTTATCGCTCCAAATCATCTTCACCCCTGAGACACAAAATACTTCTTTTACCATAGGAAGTTTGTCTGTTCTTTATGCTTGTATATAACTGTTCAAACAGATGATTTTGCAACCTTTAGTCATCTAGAAATTGGAACAAAGCATGAACCTGACTTGTCCTTCCTAATACCATATATCCAACTTTTATAAATTATTTATTTTTGAGATTTTGTTTTAAAACTGATCTACGTCTAGCTTCTTTCTTTTTCCAGAATTGGAAAAGCAACGCTATTCAGGTTAAATATTACTAAATTAAAGAAAGGAACCAAATATCGGGGTTGGTGACGTAGATGTAGGGATGAAAGTCATCCTGGAACTGAATGGATGATGGTTCTCATTGTTGTGAACTTAGGTCAAACACTTTGTCTATGTTCTCTACCGATGGCGGTCAGAGGGCCTGGTGGTTCCTTTGTATGGCAGCCCTGCTTCAGCTGTGGCTGTATTGGAACTTATCATCAGTATTTGAATGACAGACCCGTAATGTAAAGCAGCTTTGGGAGCTTGGATTCGATGAAACACTATAGAAGAAAAGGAAATGTACAATTTTTACTGAAATTACACAAGAAATATTGAGTTGTTCTGATAACTGAACTAAAATATGAAAAGTTTGATGTGATATCACACAGTGAGAAAACTTATTTTATACACTAAAACAATCTTTAAAGGAGGGACGTTTCTTTTCAATTTTAAGTTAATGGAAAAACTTTTTTTTTTTTTTTTTGGTTGAAAAAAACCAAAATATTCTTCTTTTTAATCATGTGCAGGACCTGGTTGCCTGGGTGACAGTAGGCTTCCTGCATGTCCCTCATTCTGAAGACATCCCCAATACAGCAACACCTGGCAACGCTGTGGGCTTCTTCCTCCGACCCTTCAACTTCTTCGATGAAGATCCCTCAGTGGCATCCAGGAGCACCGTCATTGTGCGGCCGGGGCCGGACGGCCAGCCTAAAGTCCAGAGATGGACGCCTGAGGTCATAGGTCACTGTGTGACAGACAAGCCATTCTTTTACAATGGCACCTATGCAGGAGTTTAGAGCAATAAAAAGATCATATTGCCAAGTGTTAACATGAAGGGAAAAATGTATCAGAAAATCACGACTAGAAAGGCACTTCAGGACTTCAAACCTTTTTAATTTTTAAATCTTGAAAATTATACATTTTTTCTATTCTTTAATTTTTAAGCAAATGGATAAAATTAGCCATAATACCATGAGGATACTCAGAGAACTGCTTGTAGAATATAGAACCATTTTGCTTTTTTCTTGTTTTTTTTCTTTTTCATCAAAAACCAAAAAAATTGCACTTGTTTTGAAAATACACACAGGAGGTAAATCCATTACCAGTGGAAAACTAGATGTTGTAAGATGGTCCTTGGGAACCTATGCTAATCCCACCTAGCATCTCCATGGATGAGATTTAACAACAGTGAGCATCCAGGATCCAGGATTCTCCACATCCGCCCTCCCCGCTGTAGCCCCCCTGCCAGGAATGAAGGCCTTAAAAAGCAAACAGTGAGATTCCGGATGCTTCCAAGCAAACATATCAGGATACCACCTGGCTGAGCTGTTGCCTATGGAAACCTAAGTTGCTTTGTATGAAGCACTTCTGTGCCTCATATATGAATTTTGCAATTATCTGGTCAAATTAATGCTTTTTTAAAATCAAATTCTATTAAAAATAGAGTTAAAGAAAGATGGCCTCTTTTCTTTTTCTTTTTTTTTACAGGTATAACGAATGTAAGAACAAGGAATGAATGATTTAGGTGAGAATGGATTTTTGCTGCAGTAAGCTGGATTGTGAGAAGAGTAAACATTTTGTGGTTTGGAATAAAGGAATCCACCCAACAGCTTTCAGAAATCAAATAACCTTTTTCTTTATAAGTGTGTGTGGATGTTTTACAATGAACACCGTAAAAGAGGGAGAGCCGTGTCTTTGTCAGTAGATGGACCGCAGCAGAAAGAAGGAGAAAGGTGAAAACGAGCTTGACCTGGGTAACAGCCATTCCTCAAGGTATTTCCATGGCAACCGTGGCGTTGGATGTCTAGCATTGAAGTAAAAAATTTCAAGAGGAGGGTAATTCATCCTTTCTTTTTTTTATTGGTCACCATTTGTCAGAATTTTCCCCATTAATATCCTAGGATTTATGTTTTATATTAAATTAATTTAGTTCACTTTATTATTAACGAAGCAAATGTAGGCCTTTGTTTTTTTTTTTATGTTTTCTTTTATTTCAGAAAACATAGACAAGGTCCAAAAAATCAGAAATAAATGTAAAAAAAAAAAAAAATTAAACAAAATTTTATAAGAAATAGTAGAGAATGGGGAATTAGTGTTGAGCTTAAATAAATGTGCAGATTTAGAGAGAGACTTGCTGCCATCTAGTGTTTCTTCGGTAGATTTCTGAATAGATTTTAACATTTTTAAATCTTCCTCGATTCCTTAATAGAGAAGCATGTGCGTTAACTTTCAGTCTGTGCATAATTTTCCTGTCCAACATCGTTAAGCCAATGTTAGGCTCATTGTAATTTTCCCATACAACATATTGATGTTTAATTGATCTTTTAATGTATGAATATGAATATTAACCCTTTGTGCACACTGTTCACTAAACTAAACAGCTGTTCAGGGACAGATCCCTGCTATGTGTGGGATGTTGGTTATATTTGCTAAGGACCACTTTTAGAAGGACTCTTTGTTTTTCCAAACACTGACACCTTCAGGGCACCTGGTGTAAGTTCATAAAAAAAGAAAAACTTTTAACTGACAAATAGCTAAGTCAACAGCTGGAAATGTTGAACAGAACTTAGATAGAAAACTTAATTTTTAAGTTAAATTGTTTCTGTAAAGTGACTTGTGTTGTGAAATTGTGCTAAATAAATAACCTGAATTTAATTCAATTATTTTCTTCACTTACATTTTACTTTTTTTTATTATAATTAATATAACTATATGAATCATAGAATTATGAATTATATGAAAGCATACATTATAAAAGCAAATTTTGAAAGTTATAAAGTTGACATTTTTTTCTACATGGTCTTACATGTGCTGAGGAGAAAAAAGGAAGACATGCAAAGATATCTTGTTCAAACCAAATGATAAAAGGAGAAGTGTACATTGCCTTGTACTACTACCAACCCATAGTCTCAAACCTATGTATTGTGTGTTTGTGACAGTGTGGGTGTATTAGTGCTGCTGAGGAGGATTACTTATTGTATTTCACTAGCAGGGTCAGGACATTTTCCTAATTATCACCTCGTTTTTAGCTGGAAAAAATAGGTAAACCAAGGTTTGAATTGAGTTGAGGTTAAAGGAAGGATTTGCAATGGCTATGTTTGGTTAAGGCCAGGGTTAGACCATTAATAGTCTTATAAATTAACCATAAATCAACAGAAATTAATAAGACTTCACAACATAGTAAGACAAGTGTTTGTGTGTGTTTTTGGATTGATTGAGGTTATGCCTTTAGCTGGGTTAATTAAAAACACACCCTTCATGTAGTTTTGATAGAAAGGCACTGTTGAGTTTGAAATAATTCCTAAATCGTGTCTGCAGAAATTCTCGAGCACAGAGAATTTTTAGCTTTTTAGTGAATCAAAATGTATCACATAAAGGTGTTTAAGTTTTCCAGGCAGTTGTTTTTGCTATTTTATTTGTGCATGTGTCTACTGTAGGTGTTCTTTCATGTTCTGCAGACGAATAGTGTTTTCCATCAAGCCCACAAACACTATTATCTTATCCATATGGAAAATTAATTAAATAAAAAATTTAACCGGCTGGTGACAGGCTAGAAATAATGATGACTGAACAAGCTGGTTGCAGATAGGAGCAGATGAAACCCAGTGAAGGCAGGGCGAGTCCTCACACTGAGCATGCATGCAGCACTTACCTAACCCTAACGTTTAAACAGGAAGAAACATCCAGTAAACCAAGCCCAGTGTGAGCGGTTATCTGCTGACTGGGCAAAAGCTTCAAATGACATGAAAAGACTAATGAACACAGGCAAAGAGAACAGAATAAGATCAAAGATAGAGGAAATAAAAAAGAAAGTTGCTGAAAACTACGGTGGCCCTGAAGTGCAAACTGCAACTACAAATCTAAAAGCGCAACTACATTAAGAAAATCGCAACTACATAAAGCAAAGTGCAACTACATAAAGAAAATCGCAACT